TAATGTCTTTTTTTTTTTTTTAAAGCTCTTCTAATGAGAAAAAGTATAATTTTTTAAAAAAAAATTATCTAAACATGTTTAGAAAAAACAAAACTTTCAATTTTTCAAAAATCAGGTCAATCGAACCCTAAATATATTAAACATTCTCCATCACAAATTAATTTTGAAAGTGAGTTCTCATCAATCTGCTTCGATAATGGCATCAAAGTTAGGATTGGGCAAATATCTCGAACCGATCAAACCGAACCCGAACCGAACCCAACGGTTCTTGACAAATTAAATATCAGAACGGGTATCTAAATTGAGAACCGACAAGTATGGTTTGGTTCTCGGTTCGAGACCAAGAACCGAAGAACAGAATAAGAACCGAATCTTTCTAATTTTTTTATATTGAATAAGTCAAATTATTTTAATTTTAATTTTTTTAAACAAATTAACAATTTCTAAATCCAAAATTTTGGCCTAATAATTTGTTTAATTTCTAATTTTTTAATTTTTTGTCCAATTACCTATTTTATTATTTCATTTCTTAGTCCAACAAGATCCAACTCACTAAATAACCTTAAACACCTACACTAAAATGCATAAAGCTGTCGAGACTCTCGTACTCACTCACGCAGCATCCATGACATTCCAAAACCTATATAATCGCCGATCGACGCTATGACCTCCGATCAAAGCTGTGACCTCCGCCGACCGAAGTTTCGACTGTAGCGATCATTTGAACAATGTAATCTACTAGTCTCTGACATTCCAAAACTATTGAATGTGTCATTAGTTGTATTTATATAATGTTTTTATAAATGTTAAAAAATTTAATTATAGTATGGAACCGAATTAAACCGAACTCAAACGGTTCCATAATTATATTTGGACCCGACAGTTCCATTTACTAGATACCTGAAAATTTTGGTTCGATTCGGTTCTCTTTAGAACCGAACCGACCCATGCCCACCTCTAATCAAAATAGTCAGCCTAGACGAAAAATCCCTTAAAATATATAAATACAATCTTAATGATATAGAGTCCCTTAGAAATTCAAATTCAAATTTTAATCTAAATCGGAGTTAATAATCAATTTTAATCATATATTTTATAAAACCCACAACTTTTTAAACACATATTTCATTAACTTTTATCCAAATATGTTAAAAAATTGATTTTGATTCCCATCAAACTGGGGCATAATATTGGTGTAAATTTCATACACAGTCACTAAACTTAAATTTGTTTCAATATATATATATATATATATAATTCGAGAAGTTACAACCGTACAATTTCAATGAAATCTTTCAAATCCACAACGCTATTAAATTCTATCACCTATTGCCCTAAGATTTACAAAATTCGCTTAGTTAACAATCATAAATCTTTCACAAAATCGTTATGTGGCACCTTAAAAATAAAAATGATAAAAAAAAAAAAAAAAAAAACACAAGGAGTTCAACGTTTTATTATTGACTAAACTTATGCCTCTAAACGCTTTACTTACTAAATTTTAAAATGTTTTCTAGCAGTTACACATTGAACCTATTTTCACAAGTTATTGAATTTAAAAATACTTTCGAGTGATCACTAAACTTTAATATGTTGCAATCCATCGCTCACTTGATATATTTTTAGCGGTCATTGAAGTTATACTTTCGTGACGCTTTACTCAGTGAACCTTAAAATGCTTTCGAATAGTTATTGAACGTTATAATAGACCTAGATCAAGGAAATAAAATAAATAAATATCAACTAGATAATAAGATTCTCAACCCAAGATGAGAATATTAATATTGGTTAAAAAATATAATTTCTATAGTCGTCAAAAGTTATATTCAAGGGCAAAGAAGAATGGTAGTTTCAAAATGATATAAATCTTTAGATCGTAATCTTCCTTTATATTGAGAAAAAAATTATTTCTTTATTTCGATTGAAATCACGGACTCAAATCAAGAAAATAAAAAATTATATCTCTGACACAGTGAAATTTTAATTTAGAGTTAATATTATTAATCAAGGCTAATAAAATATAATTTTTAAAGTTATTATAAAGTAAATTCAAGAGGAAACAAGGACACTCTTTGTATGGTATTTTATACTTCATTATTTTCGATTTTTTAACAATTGAATTTAGTGAGTAAAGTTCAATGATCATTCAGAAGCATTTTAAACTTTAATGGGTAAAGTGTGATAAAGATTTAAATCTAGTGACTAATGAAATATTATGATTAAAAGAGAGTAACTAATAGAGTGCAATGTGTTAAATCTTAATAATCACTTGAAAAGCATTTTAAAGTTCAGTGACTGATAAAACATGATGAGTGAGCAATACAGTGCAACATGTTAAAGTTCAGTAATCGCTTAGAAATATTTTAAAGTTTAGCGAGTGTATATAGTACAAGTTTAGCAACTAATGAAACATTTAACTCAAAAACGAGGGTTATGTTAATGTCTTTATATTAAAAGGTTATGCATATTTTTCATTGTAACACATTTATACTATAGCATATTGGTAAATTTGCATGAAAGGATTCCGTAACATCAATTAGAAGACGATATTAGACAAAGTGATTGAAATTTAGGGTGTGTATTCAATTGAGACTTTTAAGGACATTTTGGAATTTAAAAAGTTTAGGGTATTCAATTGAAACTTTTTTAGACTCTCTAAAAGTTATGGTTTATTCAATTGAGACTTTGAAAGATTTTTAAAATGTTTCTAAAAGTTACACAGTATTCAATTAAAACTTTTTATAAGTTTCTATAAGTCTTAGGGTATTCAAAATTTAATGATTTTTAGAACTTTTATAGAAGTTTTTGGAGTACTAACTTTTAAACAGAAAGTACTCATATATCAATTTAAAATTTGTCTCTCATTAATCATGAGATTTTGGGAGACTTTTACAAAAAAAATAAAATAAAATTCAATCTTTATTTTCTTTAACCTTTCATGGACATTTATGATTAAAATTTATTTTTTTCTATTGATTATATTTCATTTATCTTTCTTTCTCTCTAATTATTTATCTATTTTCTATAAAAAAAAAAAAAAAAAAAAAGGGACTCTTGTAGCTTCTTTTCCATTTTTCATTCATTTTTTTTTTGTGAAATCATATTTTTTTATTAAATTATATGATTTTATATGAAAAAACTATAATTAAATTTAAATATATTGATTTTTATTTATTTTTAAAATTATGCAATACTAATAATATTGAATCATATATATATATGGAGAAATTTGATTATTATTTATTTAATTAAGGTCTTAAATTTTTATTTTTTTTCAATTTTTTTATTATTTGGGAAGAAGAAGGGGAAGGAAAAGGGGAATTGTGGGAACTAACACCTCGTATGTGAAAATTTCATACCAAATCCACGTGAATTCTATTTCAAATGAAAGTTTTTAAGAGTCTTTTGAATTTTACAAAAGTCTATAAAAATTTTAAAATGAAAATCTATAGAAATCTACGAAAGACTTCCACTAGTTCCATACAAATCTATAAAAGATCTACAAAATTCACAAAAGTTATCACTTAAAAAAAAATCATCAAAGTCTTCAAAAATCCCAATTAAATACACCCCATCAATTATCTAATTGAGATTTTGTTGGATATTTAGTGAACGTAGAATGAGAGTAATTATTTTGTTAGCAACACCAAATTTCAATTTACAACGAAGGCTCCCAATTGTTGTCCATTTTGGCAATTAATTCATCACATTTTTACCATTAATCTTCATCAATTAGCAAATCTTGTTTTTGATAATGACCAGAAAATTTGTCAGGAGTATGGTTGGACATGGTTCGATTCTCCTAAATGTTCGAGTATTTAGTAAGTGAGATCATTAGGTCTAAATTTGATTATGGAATCAATCGGGTACTGTTTGGTTCAGTTTCATTCGGTTCCCGAGTTTCATAATATAATTAATTTTTTTAATATCTACTACAAATTTATGTTAATTCGACCAATGACATATTTAATATCAACTTCTATAAAATAACGTAATCTAATTCCGTGACATCTTTTATTAAGTGCTTCATATATTTCACTATTAAAATCACAGAAAGAAAAAAGTAACGAGCTCATAATAATGAAGAGAAGCACAAGTGGCCTTCTTTTTCGATTTCTGCATAATGACGATAATGAAGAGAAGTTCAGTTAAACTTCCAATTCTATTTCTCTAGAATGGAAGAAACGACACTATTATAGAATGAGATATTTGGATAAATTTTGGGTCAATTTGATTAAATTGAGCTTATGTTTAGGCTACAAATTAGAAATGTAAAAATTATATTTTGGGTTTGGGCTAAATTAATTAGTTAGCAAATTTATTTAAAAATAATAATTTGACTTGTTTAATATAGAAAAAAATTTAAGAAAAATAGGGATATTCGATTCTTATTCAGTTCTTGGTCTAGAATCAAAAATCAAATCAAACCCGTTAGTTCTCGGTTCAGATATTCATTCGGATATTTAACTCAAAAAAAACCACTCAATTCAGTTCGGATCGATTTGGGTTCAGTTCAATCCATTCGATTTGGAAGTTTTGTCCTACCCTAGTCAGGAGAGAGTAAAAAAAAATTAATTATTTTCCTATTGTACTTTTAAATAATTAAATAAACAACAAATAGCAATGTTCGAGAAAATATTTTTTCCATGCTAACATAATATTTAGAAAGAAGATAAAGTCTGGGACAAGATATGTTAATTAATTGAAAATTAAAGATATAAACGAGATGAAAAAATTGAGAATATAAATGCAAAAATGAGAAAAGATTGAGGATCTTCATTATAATTAAATGTAGCTCGATTACAAAAATCATGGCGCTTGTTTGTCAAAACTTAAAATTGTTTTAAAGCAATGGGTCGAAAGATTGTGATTAAGTGATTTAAAGAGTTGAATATTGATAGTCTGATTAACTTATAAGTTATTATCCGCTTTGACAAACAGGTTATCAAAGAAAGCGTCACTATGCAAGAAAGGTGAGAGATTTCTTAATAGAGTAATTACCGCGTTGGCCTTTTGCTTTGCTTTCTGGTGCCTCCACCTTTGCTTCTCAACTTTCCTTCTTCTTCTTGTTCATTTTCTTCGCTAAAATAAATTTCACCCATTAAACCATACATTTATAATCTCGCAATGGATCAATCGTTATTATTTTCAATTTAATTTCTAGTTTTGATCCGATCTGGAAAGAACCCACAAATTCTAGCCACTTTATCAGTGTTTTTCGAAGATTTTCCTTCAAGAATAATGATAAACTGTTCTTTAATCTGCATTCTCTAATAAGGTAAACTGAGAATCTTTCTCTCTTATTACGGCTTTTTCTTTTTACTATTTACTTTACTTGATTTGGTTTCATTTGGCAATGTAAAAGAAAGAGAATCTTGAAATCAATGCGACACAAGAATTGAATTACTTTGTGATCAAGCAGATTAGCTTTATCTTTGTCTGGACCTCTGTTTGTTTTGTTTTTGATAAATTGTGTTAATAGTGTCTAAATAAAGTGATTATTCATAGTTATTTTTAGTATTTTGAAGAAATTTTACAGTTTAGTTATGGTTGCTTAAATTATGCCACATTTTCTCTCTCCACAATCTATATGAGTTTCTTGATTTAACAAAATTTGATGGTACTATGGATTAAGCCATTTAAGCATGTCCTTTTTTTTCAATTCCCTTGAGAAAACTGCTTTATTTACATCCATTTTCAGTATATATTTTAGGTTTTGATTTTGTTCATTTCGATATGTATAAGTGCCTATGTCGACGAACTTAAAAGATTCACTCGTTGAGGGTACTTCACTGCCTGTGACTCCCGAAGCGGCAATTTCTGTTGAGTATCTTCCTCCTTCTGTCATTGAGACTAGTCGTCCTCCTCTTGTGCGATCTATTAAACAACATAGATATGAAGTCTGCTCGTCTGGATCTAATGCGATACCTACAGATCCAGAGATGAAGAAAACTTATACTCGAGCAGATTCCATGATCAGTTCAATATGCTCCTATAAATCATCCCATTTCAGCATGCAGAAGGATGATGCATCTGATTTGTTTACAGCACAGTTGAGATCAAATAATGGAAAAAAGCAAATTCCGGGCAGTGGCAATGGCAATGGCAATGGCAATGGACATGAAGAAATGGGAGAGGATTCAACTCGGGAGCAGGCTTTGACATTGGATAGCAAAGATTATATCCCACATCCTGTTGATGAGACCGAGAATTCCCATTCTAATGACCTTTTGGAACCTGTGGATTTCTCTTTGTATTCTGCAGCTAAAGGAGCTATTGAGCTTTTAAACGACAACTTGCCATCTAAATCAGGAAATAGATACTGCTCGAGTCCTCAAAACAGTTTTTACTCAGCACAGTACGTGGAAGCCAAACAGAGCTTTACAAACACTGAAGTTAGTGAATGTGCGAGCAGTGTCAAGAAGTCTGGTAAAAGTGGGGAAGTTAGCAACTTGTGTGATTATATGGAGAGTGGGAAAACGAGTATCCATAGAGGCAGCACGAGCAGCGATGTTAGTGATGAGAGCTGCTCAAGTAGTTTCAGTAGTGCTATGTACAAACCACACAAAGCAAACGACACAAGATGGGAAGCAATTCGAGCAGTCCGATCTCGTTATAATGGATCATTGGAATTAAAGCATTTCAGAATGTTGAAGAGATTGGGAGGTGGTGATATAGGCAGTGTTCATCTAGCAGAATTGATTGGAACAAGAACTTATTTTGCCATGAAAGTGATGGATAAAGAAGCTCTGGCAAGCCGGAAGAAACTTCCCAGAGCTCAGACGGAAAAAGAAATTTTGCAATCCCTGGATCATCCGTTTCTCCCCACGCTATATACTCATTTTGAGACAGAGAAATTCTCTTTTCTGGTCATGGAGTACTGCCCCGGGGGAGATTTGCATGCACTTAGGCAGAAACAACCCGGGAAGTTTTTCCCAGAGCATGCTGCCAGGTATGATCTGTAATCCTTGACTTTGATTGTGATTCTTGTTGATTGAACCTATGAGTGGGGAATTTGACTTTTTGGTAAATCATTTGTTCTCAATTAGATTCGATATTAACTTGTAAAAATTGTCCCTTTCCTTTGATTTAGTGTTGTTGGGGAAATCTTGTTGAACTTCAATGTGTGAATGGATGATCTAACTGATAGGAATATGAGCTCCTTTGGTCTAGTTGAAATTTGATTCCTATGCCCGCCATGGAATCTAGAACATTGATGTTTGGGAGTTGAGCGTTACATTTTGACTAAGGGTAACAGATTGGGGTTTGTACCGAGCTTAAACCTCTTGCGATAACTTAGACGATTTGATTTGAAAAGCCATGTTAATCATGAGGTTTATGTAGAGCTTCAAATGGTTTTTATTTCAAATGTTTATGAGTGTCTTATAGTTCCGAAAGAGAACAGATATGCAGGGTTATACATATCGACATGTTCATACTAATTTTTATAACTCTTCAGATTTTATGTGGCCGAAGTCCTCCTCGCTTTAGAGTATCTGCACATGCTCGGGATCATTTACAGAGATCTTAAACCAGAGAATATTTTGGTGAGAGAAGATGGGCATATAATGCTTTCAGATTTCGACCTCTCATTGAGGTGCGCTGTGAGCCCGACACTCGTCAAATTCTCAAATTCTAGCTCGAAACCAAAGAACTCGGGATACTGCATTGAGCCTTCATGTGCCATCCAGTCTGCTTGTATTCAACCCACATGTTTTGCACCACGGTTCATAAGCAAGTCCAAGAAAGAGAAGAAGTCCAAACCAAAGTTAGAAATAAATAATCAAGCGAATCCTCTTCCAGAACTTTTAGCCGAACCTACAAGCGCTCGATCGATGTCCTTTGTGGGTACACACGAATACCTGGCTCCTGAAATTATCAAAGGCGAAGGCCATGGCAGTGCAGTAGATTGGTGGACATTCGGGATCTTTCTATACGAGCTTCTGTTCGGGAGAACACCTTTCAAGGGAGCAGCGAACAGGGCTACTTTGTTTAATGTTGTTGGACAGCCTCTAAGATTTCCAGAGTCGCCTACAGTTAGCTTCGCTGCACGAGACTTGATCCGAGGTTTGCTGGTGAAAGAACCACAGCATCGCCTCGCGTATAGACGTGGAGCTACAGAAATCAAACAGCATCCATTTTTCCAGAGCGTGAATATTGAACTACTTCGTCTAAAATTCAGTTTGATGATGTGTATTTAAGTATTCAATGCCCAACTTGCACCTGTTTGGTCCCATTAAATTAAATTTCATTTTTCTCTCTCTCCTATTTTCAATTATTTAATCTTCCGTAAAATAATATTACTTATAAAATGATTTTTTTTTAACCACTCATTCTTCAAAAATATATTATTCTATTCATTTTAATTTGAAAAAATGGGCCCAAACGGGGCTTTCCAAACCGAATCACCGGCAGATTGCCTTCACAAGATTCACTTTCCACCCAAAAAAGTTCACAAGCAAATAACTGGGAATTTATTGCTACATTTTCATCATATTTTAGAATTTTGTTTCTAATACAATTTTCAGTGGGGAAAAATGTTAAAATCTGGTAAATTTTTAATAATTTTGATTACTAACTTGTAATTATTTATTATGTGGATCGTATTTTTTTTCATATAAAATATTCATTTTGGCCTGACTTTACCATTTCATTTAAATTATAAAATTTATATGTAATTTCTAAAATATATTTTAGCACATAACATGTGACATATTTATGAATTCAGTCTTAAAATGATAAATAATAATAAATATTATGATAAAAATATTTCCTAAACCCTTTGATATACATATTATTATTAGTGTATGATCAATATTAATGTATAGGATTGTTTGAATATATTTGGTATTTTAGTGAATTAATTACAATATTTTAATTTTAAAAATCCATTAAATACATTATTACAGGTTTCCGTATGCGCAGAATACAGTTTTTAATTAATTAATTAATTTTATTTTTTCAAGGTCAAATTTGAGCTTATTTGAAACAGCTTTAAAAAACTAATTTCTACTATATAGGCACATTTTTAATTTGAATTGAAGTTTTGTTTGTCATTTCTTTGAATAAATTAAGAACTTGTTTGGTAGGGATTTTGATAATTGATTTTTTGATCGTTAGAGGTAAAATGAGTCCTACCCGTGAGAGAAAAATTCAAAAATGACGATTAAATTAATAAAATAACGGTCAAAAAATTGATTTTAATTGACTTTTAATTCGTAACAAACAAGCAGTAAGACTCGTTGACATGACTTTTAAAAAGTCAAACGGAAATTTTGAGGTATAAAAGGCTTCTTGTGGACAAATTTGACTAATTTTATAAAACTGCTCATCCTAATTAAAAGAATTTTTAAAGAAGGGTAGTTTGATATACTTTATCTCAAGATACTTTCAGACTAGAATTTTTATTTAGAAATTAATTTTAAAACAAAAATTAAGATAATTTCTTCAAAAACTCTTCTAAAAAACGAAAATAAATGTAAAAAATTATGTCAAACGAACTCTACAAAAAAAAAAAAAAAGGAAAAAAAAATGAAGAAAAAAGTCAAGCCGCTGCGATGTGCCAAAGTATACGACTCTTCCATAGACTAGAAGCTACTGACTATTATGGGTTAGTTTGAAATTATGAGAAGAAAATGTGTAGATAGGAAAGCACCGACAGCACCTTGGAGAAAACTAAGGCCTACAGGATTAAAATTTATGATTATTAGCTATTCATTTTGGCCCTATTCGTCAATATATTTTTCAAATTTTATTTATATACTCGTTTTCAATCACATATTTATATAATAAAATATTTTAAATATAAATCCAAAATTTTTTCCTACCTTTTAATTTACATTTTTTTAAAAATCACTATTCAAAACTTTATTTTTCAAAAGTATGGTTGTCACACAGGGGCTTTATCACCCAAAATAGTATTTAACATGTGACAATTTTTTCTTTTGTAAGAACTCGATGAAATGATTTGTACCCGAGAACAAATACCGTATACGGATAAATTTGTATGTATCAAAACAAGCAAGAGTCGATTCCCTGTCACGTGATAAAATAATACATAAAACTAGAAAATTAGAAAGTCCTCTTTCAAAAACTTTACAAAGGTGAAAAAAAAAAGAAAAAAAAGAATTAGGTATATTTTGAATTGTTAATTAAACACGAATACACACTATATATATATTTTCAAAACGTATAAATGTTGGCTTTCTAGCCGTGCGACAAAACATGGTAAGGCCCCTTTTGGGAGTGATTTTGAGAATTGATTTTGTGACTGTTAAAAGAAAAGTAGGGGTTATCTATGAGAGAAGAAGTCAAATTTTACGGTTGAAATAGTGAAATAACGGTTAAAAAATCAATTTTTTTAGGTGAAAAATTACTCCCAAATAAGCTCTAAATCAATGCATAAAACTAGAAAAATAACGAGTCCTCTTTTCAAAAACTTTACAAAGGTGGGGGGGGAATAAAGTTTGACTTCTTCTCTTTCAGGTGGTCCTCACTTTTCACCTAACGGTTATAAAATCAATTCTCAAAATCGTTCCCAAACGGGACCTTAATATAGTTAGCCGCCATTTTTTATTTCTTCACTTAGATGTGAGATCCACTTTTATCTATAACTATTAAAAAATTGATTCTAAGAATTAGTACCAAACAGACCCTAGGAAGATTTTGAATTGTTAAGTAAGCACGAATAAACACTATAATACTATATATTATCAAAACGTATAAACGTTGGCTTTCTAACCGTGCGACAAATCAAGCAAAAAAGATAAACAAATTATTATTATTATTATTATTATTATTATTATTATTATTATTATTATTATTATTATTATTTTGCTTTTTTTGGAAGAAATAATGAAAGATTACTAAAAAAGATAGGGAACAAAAACTGGTGGGATCATCTTCTCTTGTTGTGTGGGATTGTCCCCTATGCGAGGATCCATTTCCATGTGCAACTTTAATAATTTTCTTTTTAATTCCAAAGTGAAAAAACAATACTGCATGATTTCATATAAAAAAATCATATCCTTTTTCAATGGAAGCATCTTGTGTTCTTTCCCTTCCGCTCTGCATTGTCCCCTCTCGTACTCTTGCAATTTATAATCACTTACCAACGGGCTCGAATACAGGACAAAAATGAATAGATTGACTTGACAGCGCTTATTTGGATTTTTTTTATTATTTTTATTTTTCAAACTGTTTAATCATATATCGATACCTATCCACCTGTTTTTTAATATGTTTTTTAACCTGTTTGTGTAAGTTATTATTAAATAAGCGAAAGTAAAGATACTTGGTCAGAGTTGGGACAGATGACAAGAGCCTGCGTGTATTTGTTTGAAGAATTATGCTACACAAATAGGCCTAAAAACAAATTCAAAAATGGGGGAACACGTGTCGGAACATAGTTGGACAGTTTGAAAAATAAAAAAATCAAACACCAATCAGCAACTGTCATGTCAATTTCTCTTTTTATTTCTTATCTTTGAGTCTGCACAAACGTCATTATTGTTTTTTGAATATTTTTTTTATTTTTTCAAACTGTTCAATTAATGATCAAGGTGTCACCCTGTCACGTTAGCATAACTCAAAATAATTAGCTTTGCCCCCACTGTTTCTGACATATACTTCAATTCCTTCCTTGGCTTTATCTCTGCAGATCAACGAAGTACACAAAAAAGAAAATGCACAAATTTGAGTTTTAGCAGAGAGAAAAGCTCAAACAGACTCTCTACCTCCACCTCCACTCCACTCCACAACTTCAAATTCCTTTTTTGTACTTGGAAAATCCATTCTTGATTGTTTAATGGTCTTCTTCTGTTTCCAATGAACATTAGTTTTTTGGTTGTGGGATCTCTGAAATCATGTAGGAAATTACTCTTTTGCTTCAGAATCACAAACATTTAGGGATTTCGGTTCATGAATTTGGGGTATGGGTTTTGCTGTGTATAGTTGTTTATTGAGTATATTTTGATTTGGGATTTACTTTAAATGTGCAAAGACCTATTATAAAAGTTTTGATCTTGGAATTGGGTTTTAGGAGAAAGAGGTTTGTAGAAAAATGGGATCTGGGAATGGGTTTTATTCGGGTTCAGAGTTCAATTTGGACCCGAAGTGGTTGGTTGATCCGAATTATCTTTTCGTGGGACCGAAGATTGGAGAAGGAGCTCATGCTAAGGTTTATGAGGGGAAGTAAGTTGACTTTGGCCTTCTGTCTGAATCTTGATTTCTGAAAGTTAAATATTTATAATTTTGAAAGAAGTAGGAATGGAAGAAATAAAAGATCAGATAAAAAAATTGTTGCATATCATTTGTTTGTATTTTGAACTTTAAAAGTAAGTTGTGCTGTGATTTCGTGAACAATAAGATATATGTAATGGTTAATTGCTGTGAATCAATGAGTAAGATCTTGTCTATATTGTTACAAATGGAGTTTTCGATATGTGAGAATTAATCCTCTTTCGGAAGTATATATTGCAGTGCTTACACCAGACACTTGTTTCACTATGAAAAATTAATACCGCATAAGGTTATTAAACAGGATCTTTGGTGTTTCTGTATTATACTCCAGATATAAAAATCAGAATGTCGCGATCAAAATAGTTCAGAAAGGGGAGACGCCAGAAGAGGTTGCCAAGAGGGAAGGCAGATTTGCGAGAGAAGTCGCAATGTTGTCCAAAGTTCAACACAAGAATCTGGTTAAGGTTTTGTGATATTATTATTTATATATTGTTATGACCGTGAAATCTGGCTGATTATAGGTGTTTACATATGTACATGCATCTAGATATGGAATCCGTGTATATATGCATATATAGGCATGTTTGGTATACAGAGGGTTGGAGTTGGGTTAGATAGCACTGGACAATATTACGGAAGAAAAAGAAGTTAAATACATGTCTAGTCCTATTCAGCACTACCTACCAAACATTTTGAATTTCACTTGCTTCCATCATTTTAAGAATTCTACTTCAAGCAGTTTATCGGAGCTTGCAAGGAACCTGTCATGGTGATTGTAACTGAGCTTCTGCTTGGTGGGACACTCCGGAAATACTTGCTAAACATGCGGCCCAAATGCCTGGATGTGAGAGTTGCAATTGGATTTGCACTTGATATAGCTCGTGCAATGGAATGTTTGCACTCGCATGGAATCATACATCGTGACCTTAAACCCGGTGAGAATTATTCCTTGTTATTCATTGATCTATTATGCGTGTTCTCTTAAGGAAATGGATCTCAGTAGCCAAAAAGAAATTGGAAAAGTTAGACTGCTGTTATTGAAATCCCCATGAAATTGATGGGTGGTGTTAAGAGTTCATTTTCTGATGCCCAATTTTTGAATCATCAAAAAGGGGTTTAGGCTTTGTTTATCTTTTGATGTAATGACAACGATAAAGATCTCTTGATATCTGCTTTAAGTTTTCAAGTTCTAGGAGCTTGTTCTTGGGATTGCAGATTCAGTGGTGTTTGTTTTTTAACATGAAAGTGACCTCGGTCCAGTACACAAATACTGATGACAATGCTCTCCGGTATTGGATCGAGTGGTTGAGAGGCTTGAAAGAGAACATTTTGGGGTGTATGATACCCTAGGTTGTGGATATAAAGGATTAGTGTCCCTTTGAAACAAGATAACAAAAATCCTTTGTAAACCCCCCACCCTCGCTCAATGGAAAATTAAATAAATAAACAACACTATGAATCACCCACCCCCCACTCCCCCCCTCCCCCAAAAAAAAAAATAATAATAAAAATTATGAATCCCCAAAAAAATAATAATAATAATAATAATTATGAATCACCTTTTGATTTTATGAAGAAAATCGTCACGAGCTAAGTGAAAGTAAGATATCCATAATTATACAGTTCTTAGTCTTGGTGAGGCCAGTTGATTCTTGATCTGAGGTTGAAGTAAGAAAAAGGCTCATTATATGATTTACGTGAGAGAGAATTTTTTCTACCGTGCATGTTATTACTGTGTTGTATATTTGTCTTGTCAGAACATATTCTTTCTTTTTACTATTTGACTTTTTTTATCGTTACTCTTGAAAGAGAAATTTGTTAGTCTATTATTAAAACTTGCGTATAATTGTAACTGCCAAACAATTTATTTCCCAGTTGGTTAAGGATTGTTGGTTTCACAACTGAGGTCAAGGGATCAAAGATTGGTATTTCCCTCCCCTCCACTCCTCCTGCAACCCCTTCATCGATTTTTTTTAAAAAAATAAAATAAAAATAAAAATTGAAGTTCTACAGTACAGGAAGCACAGATATCTGAAGTTGTGCTGAAGTCTGGCGTCAAGTTTGTGAAATGCATTACAAGATATCTGTGGCATTTTAAACACTCTGTCTCTGTGATAGAAAGCTTCTGTTGAGCAAGATAATCTAGTCATACAGATCTGTATATTTACCAAAAATAATTAGTTCTCCTGTATTTCATGCACGTGACGTTTAAAAATGTGCAGCTTAATTTGTTATTCCATGATTGCATCTCTTTCCTTTTCAATAAAACAAGATATAACACGTTCTTTTGGATCTCTGCTAAAAGCTTTCTTGATTTATCTATGATTTTTTCCCCCCATCCAGAAAACTTGCTCTTAACAGCAGACCACAAAACTGTTAAACTTGCGGATTTTGGTTTGGCAAGAGAAGAATCATTGACTGAGATGATGACTGCCGAGACTGGAACATATCGATGGATGGCCCCAGAGGTAATTTAACTGACCTTTGTTTATTTTCAATTCTTCTGTTACTTCGTGGATCAACTAGAATGCTGAAAATCCCTTTTTATTTGCGTAAATGATTGCAGCTCTATAGTACAGTAACACTGAGACATGGAGAGAAGAAGCATTATAATCACAAAGTTGATGCTTACAGTTTCGCTATTGTACTGTGGGAGCTCATACATAACAAGTTACCATTTGAAGGCATGTCAAATCTGCAGGCAGCCTATGCAGCTGCTTTTAAAGTAATTTCCTTTCCCGTACTTTCAACTCTTCACACCTTTTCTACTTAATCTTAATTTCTTTTGAGGGTCTTTGTGTTTTTGTTATGCTGGGTGTGAGGTTGGAAAGCGGGGAGGTGTGGTAGCATTATGCCCTAATCCCGATTAGAAAAGCAATAATGAAATCAAAAGCATGCAAAAACGCACAGATTTATAGTAGTTCACTTTCAATGTGAAATTTATGTCCACTTGCCTCCGTAGGTTTTTGTCTATAACAAAAAATAAGGGTACAAAGGATCTCTTGCCTTCCTTGACCCTAAAGTTGACCTCTCTGTAAAATCCTTTCTATGGTAGGAAACATTAGGGTGAACTAATATGTGAATGGGCTACTTAATATACTCAATCAAAGTTTCTCCATCAAGGGGATAACGGAACAATATTAGGCTCTTCACAGTCCACCCTTCACAAATTTTTTTTCCCTCCCTTTGTGAATGACTCCTTCATCTGGTTATGTGTCAACATGGTAAGGGAGATATTCCTCGTTCATATTTGTTTAGAAAAATCAAATCAGTTTACGTTTCAAATTTTATTTACCATTCATATCTTCCTTCTCAGAATGTAAGGCCGAGTGCGGATGATCTTCCTGATGATTTAGCTTTAATTGTGACTTCATGTTGGAAAGAGGATCCAAATGCCAGGCCCAACTTCAGTCAGATAATTCAGATGCTTCTTCATTCTCTCTCAACAATTTCACCTCCTGAACATGTTGCGCCTCCGAGACTTTTCACTTCTGAGAATGCTGTTTTCCCACCTGAATCTCCCGGCACAAGCTCTTTGATGGCAAAGAGGGACGACCACACAGGGGATACGCCAAAAATGCCAATGGAGAATGAGCCAAGAGGATTCTTCTTCTGTTTTAACCAGTGCTACTAATCTCAAAAGAAAATGGTAATTGGGATTTCAACTATCAGGCCAAAGACATTACAAGCAGAAATCCTTTAGGTCATGTTTGGAACGCAATGATGGACATGACCAGACAATACAATGGACAAGATTCAAACATTGTTTTCTCTGGTATTGACTAATCCACATTACCAAACATGTCATTAGCATATAAAGATGTTAATTTTCAACTTAGTGTTAAATATAAAAAGTCCCTTTACTGTTATTATATCAGCTGACTCAAATGCTGGAAACCCTTTTAGATTATAGAGTTTGGGTTGCTGTGATGTATTATGGCTGTAAAATAAGAGATCCATCCAAAGGCCTTTACTCCATTATTTTGTTAAAATTTTGCATTTATGCTTGGCTGCCAGTTTCTGAGCATTTATTCTTGTTGAATTTCCCATCCTTATGGATATATGTTAGTGTGACTGCCGGTGGAGTTGTCTATTGTTGATCTCTATGATAAATTTACCCAGGTTCTCAGAGACGGTGGTCTATCATCCGGATGGAAACCTGGAAATGAAAGCTGTTTTATTTTTCAGATACTTCAACCAAATCGATTGGACCCCAGAAAAGGGCATTTGCTAAAACTTGCGCAGTTTCTTGAATACTCGTTGCAGATAAGATAGTTTGTTAAAAAATAAAAAATAAAATAATTCCCAGCTCTTTTTAGGTCTTGCAACGTTAACCCATGATATGTGTGTGTGTGTGTGTGTGTGTGTGTGTGTGTATATATATATTCAAAAACTGTTCTATTTTGCAGAAATGTCAATAGGGAAAAAGAAATAGCATATAACCATAGAAAAACACTTAAGGTGTATTTGATTGCGAGCATGAAATTTCTATGAAAAAAATAAATTTTAGAATTTATTTGTATGGAAATTATTAATTAGATATGTTCAATTGATTTAATTTTAGACCTAAAAAATATTATATTTATCTATTTTTTATTAATGGATAGATGAGAGAGAAAAAGATAATGAATTACTTGAAAAATAAAAATCGTCCCTCTTTAAGAAAATGGTTTCCTTATTTTCGAGAAAAATATGGTGACATGACCAAAAATTGAAAAATATTTTTCATGAAAAAATTGTATGAAAAAAATTGTTAATCAAACACTCCAAAGGTATAAATTTGAGTAAAAATTTAACATTTACCATGGAAAATAAAGTCAATCAAATACACTCTTAATAATAATGATATACTTATGACTGATATCTACTATAATACTATAAAACATAATACATAACCCAAGATTACTGCTATTCAAAATTCCTCCTTTAATGATCTATAAATGAAAATTAAATCGGCTAACATTACGGGAAGCAATAGTTGTCATTCCATTTTTCCTTCAAATTCAAATTCAATTAAGTTTGATTATGTATTCATAAACGATAAGTTGAAGGAAATTATCCAATAGCAGCTCAACTGTGTCTAGGTTAAAAATTCAAATTTGATTCAGTCATATGCAATCTTCGATCTGGTTGGCTTATCAAATTTGAGCAAGCTGTTCAACGAAATCCTAACTGCTTTACAGTTAAGGTAATATGCTGTGTGTGAATTAGATTATGGAGAATGTGATTTTACGTTTTAAGTAGTATGAATATTATTGAAAATTTGGGACTCAGTAATCCGATTAAATGTAACAAAAGAATCGGGCAACAATAGAAGTCCTAAAGAGGAAGGGGTAGAAGCAGTCAACCGTCGAGAAATGAACATATTATGTAAAAGGTTGAACCCCAACCTTAAGGGCTCCCACCATCTCGCCTCTAGAGCTTTGTGAGGAAGGTAAATCGCGGGATGTGCTCCAGCAGGCCAGGAAACAAGAGCTACTTCTACACTGCGCCTACAAGGAGTCCAATTCCATGTTTCAGGAATCGAACCCCCACACTGCGGCTGCCAGCAAGGCGTGAGATAACCTCACTCCCGTCCTTTGCACCACTAGGCTATGTCCCGGGGGGCAAAAATGAACATATTATGTTCTCTTATTATTGTCTGTTCAAGATGCTGAACAAGAAAGATTGATTTTGAAAAAGCATCAGTATTCTAAGAATGTATACGCAGTAGAAAAATTATGCGAATCCTTTAAAATATGAGACCCATATGGATAAATGATCAAATAATTATCCTTCCTTTCAGAGAAGCTAAAAAATAATATGAAGGCTCCATTGATGTGGTAATAATTTATTATCGGGATATAGCTCCTATTTGATGGAGAATAAAATCATATTTTTAATAGAAATGTACAGTTAAAAAGTTATGGAATTCATGAAATTTATGATTAAAATTGATTATTGACTTTAACATAGATTAAAATTTTAATTTTAATTAGTACGAAACAAGGAATTAGTTTCATCTTATGCTATGTATATTCTTCACCGGGTGTGATCCGTTACCGAGAATCATACTCCCTAAATAGGTGATGATTCTTGTAGGTTGGCTATTGAGTTCATTATGATGACATATCTGCAACATCATCTCATTACATTGGAATCTATTAAGTTATTCATTACTTGCAATAAGAAAACATATGAACTGCTTGTACCATTCTGTTGCAAATACATGGATCCTATTGATATGCTATCAATTGAACTCAGGATTGAAAAGAGGATAACTGTTATGAAAATAGAGTATGATGTAGGTGAAAGCATGGCCCCTCTGATTACAAATGACAACTCACTTGTCTTTTACTTGGGGCTGAAGAAGAAGCATTCCAATGTGCCTATGCACTAAGTGTAGAAGTTACAAATATAGTAATGAAGTTTCATGTGCTACATACCAAATGTTTGAAGTTTCAAAAGTGTTGTTGGAATAGGAAACTACGAACACAATTCATGTTTTGCATTAGTCGTGTGCATCAGTACCAACGGTGCAAAACTAATATGTTCAAAGTACGTTATATCAGAAATAGACATACTTACTCAATGGACGTAACCAATAGAGATCATAGACAATCAAACATTGCATTGATAGGTAATTGTATAAAGTACGAGAACATATCTGCAAGGAAATCTACACTCTTGTTGGCATAATACATGATATGGTAATGACATATGGTTTAATGTTGAGGTAAGGAAAGGCTTGAACGAGTTTAAGTAGAGGAATCCATGAATGAGGACATAATACTAAAACCTTGTTCAATTCTCATTAATTGGGAAAAAATTGAGTTTTGAATAGTATTTTTAAGAGAATGTGTGGTTAAAAAGTAGGGAAGAAATTTTTAGCATACATATAGAATATTTTATTGTGTAATTGTATGGTTGAAAATGATCCTATGGGAAACCATAAAATAAATTAGTAGATGTCAAACATGCACTAAATTGATTGTAATGGACATTACTTTCGTGGCATTTTAGGTGCATGTGTACAAGGTTGGAAACATTGCAACCCTGTAGATGTGATTGACGCAACGTTCTTAATTGGTAGATATGGGATGTCTTATTTGTTGCTTACAAACCAGATGTGAATAGCTGCATATTCATTCTAGCATTTGGCATCGAATATTCTGAGAACAATAATTCATGGAGTCGGTTCTATAAAGATTCAAGAAAGCTTATGGAAAGAGAGATGATATGTATATTGTTTCATATCATCATGCAAGCATTGATTATGCTGTATAGACGATATACTCTTGTGTAATGCATGGATTATGTACTCTATAAGTATTATACCCTAAGTCCAATCAACTTTGGACATAAATACTTTTGATATATAATTAATACAATTTAATGGCAGATCTATTATCTAATTAATAAACAATTAAATAAATAATAGAGTCCGTAAATTCAAATCTTCGTAATTTGTTAATCGCAAGGAGTTGTGATCGTGAGATACAAATTACATCTGATTGAATCTTAAATCATCCGTGGTAGTAAGTAATAACAAGATACGGATATCGTTATTACAGATAGACCATCACGTGTGACATTTCTTACTTGAGAAGTAAGAAATTGATCTCACAAGTTAAAGTGTGGTGACACTTAAATGAACACGTGGATGTTTTGTTATAGAACAAAACATTGAAGACCCGCCTAGAGATTCCACATGGATAACTATCTGAGTGTTAGTGGTTAATCTCTAACGTTCGACAGTGAAATTAGTCCTTTGACTTGAGGTCGTTATGGTACCTTATATGATGACAGTCATACTTCGGCGACATTGAATGTTGCTCTTAAACGGGCCGCTAATACGACATCGTTCGGGTACGTCAAGAATCGTATGAAGGTTGTAATTGATCAATAAAGGATTCGTCACTCTTAGATAGTAGGAGATTATGATCTTCGTTTTATTCAATTAAGTCGATGATGAAATCCTTGGTTAAGGTGTACTCATAAGTCGAAAAGGAGTTTTCGACTTATATTGACTTAATAGTGGAGTGAAAGATATGATCGTTAATCGAGATTGACACACTTCCATATCTCGTTATTGATCGGATCATATTGACGAAGAGATTCACGGTAAACGAACGAGTTTGGTTTTCTCATACCACGTTATATTTTTCTTCACATGTATTGCCCTAATACATTGCTTGATGTCAATTTGGGACGGCGAGAGTGAATTGATGATAAATTAAAATGGTGTTTTAATTTATCAATTTTGATTAGATCAAAATAATATTTCACGTCGTTAGGCATCGTGATCGGGAACCTGATTTGTCGCACACAAAAGAGAATTGGAATATTACAATTTGTCAATTAATTAATTTAACAATCGTTCAATAAATTAATTAATTAGGTTGGTTATTTATAGGCTCGAATTAATTAATTGGATTAATTAGTTTACGGACCGAATTTAATTAAATGGATTAATTAAATATTGGATCAGACCGGGTCAGACCCGTTTGGGCTTATATAAATACATGGCTAAGGTTTTCAATCCAGATGATTTTTCTCAAAATCATTCTTGCTAGCAGAAAAGGAGAAAACCCTGGTAGCTGCAATTTTATTCTCTGTGTGGATCACCATTGGAGGCTGGACAATTGGAAAGCTGTGAGTGACGAATCAAGATTGCTTGAACGAAAAGAAAAGCAAAAGGTTTGCAGAATTTTTCAAAGGTACAATCTTTATTACGATTTCTATCTAAATACAAAAGGATTCTCGGTGGAAATCGAAATAATTTTAATTTTTCGCTGTGCATGTATAAGTAGATTCCCAACATACTCATCATCTGCTACAAAACACGATGACAATGTATGGAACTATGGGAAAGAATTTGATTAGACCTTTCAGTAATGCAGCCAGATCATATACGAAACATGATTTTGAGTACTACATGAAACAACTTGATCAAATTAATCAAGACAACAGGAATGATTTGGTAAATCACATCCAACAAACCATTTGCATTATTGTTGTATCTTCATCATTGTTGCATGAATTTGCCTAGAGACGTTTTCATTTTTCATATTCAGGTGAATTTAATTTGAGAAAA